TCATTTGCAGGCAGTCTGGCGCATCAGGTCCTGCTTCTCATCCTCTGTGGGATATGGATGCTGAAGGTGGGCAACAAACCCACGCCCTGAGCTTGTCTGTGGTCTCCTTTGGAAGGTTGCCACGACGTTTGCGCTGTTTATTATCGCCATGCATGCCCATGCCACCCAGCTCACCGAGCCTCATGAGGTCCTGGTAGTGCGGGTTGAAGCCTGGAGCGGCTGATGAGAATGGCGTACGGTCAAAGGGGGCGATAGCTCCCAGGGAGAGGGACTGGGCCCGGTTGGGATGGTGATAGCTGTAAGGATAGCCTCCTGCTCGGTAAGTTTGTGCAGTCTCCATTCCCGGAGCGTTAGGCATGGGCATGCCTGCTGCTGATCTGATGGGTTGGAACTCCTCGCTCGAATGCCCTCGTTGCCGCTGCATGTGCATAGGCTCGCGATCCAAAGCCATGTGAGGCAGACTAGGAAGTGTGGGGCGGTGTTCCTGGCGATCGTACACTTCCATGGGGACTGCTTGACGCATAGGAGGCATCGGGGCGTGTGCTGCGTAAGGGCTTGTCCTTGCAGATGTCGCCCAGCCATCGTTTGGTGGCCCAGGTAGTGTACGTTGAGGGGACAGTTGCCTGTGATGGTGTGCTTGGCCCTGATTCTCGTACGCCCGTGGAACTCGGTTTGCTCTCTCCCTGTCTTGTTCATCTTCTACTGACAGTCGGCGGCGCTTATTGGACGCCGAGCTTGGCGAGTGTATATATTCTGGGGGAGTCATTACTCCCGCAAGACCGACAACCGGTGAAGTGGTTGAGCATGTCGTCCTGGCGGGTGCCTCTGGAGGCTGAAGACGCAGCTTGATTTCTGGGAAGGCCTTGAAATAGGTTAGCAAAGCAAATCCTCATGGTCAGGGCGGAGGCAACGAACGAACCTGGCGAATGGATGGCAGCTCGATCCTGTCGGTTTGGGGCCGAGAGTGTGCTACATACTCCATCGAGCTGCCACTGTCCCAGGGGTACTCTCTCTTGAAACCTGCATGTTGGGAGGGGGCAGCCATGGCGAGCATCGACATGCTGGGCTGCTGTGCGTGGGAAGAAGATGTGGTTGGAGGTGCAGTGAACTGGGCAGACCACGAAGGACTAAATCCCATAACCGACTATGAAACTGGTGGTTGAGGTTCCGCACAGCGGATGGGCGCAGTTCAGTGTATGAAGCAGCACTGTTCGTGGCGAGAAAAAGCGTGGTGTCCGGCGTTGTTGTCTCGTCCTGCAAATGTTTACGGGATGGTTGACGTGTGGTTATGGAGTATCGTTGGTGTGAGGATACGATGTGTCTGGGCCGATGTCGTGGAAACAAGATGGTTGATATCAGGACGTGACAGCACCGAGGTGGGATGGCTTTTCCTTTTGTAAATTCAGGTGGCCCTGGGGAGGTAGGATGGCCGGCGAGCTTGAGCAGGACCAAGGAGCCGGCGCACAGATGGGAGGCCCAAAGAGGAAGTGGATAGCAGGTATCTAGGAGGGGACCTAGCGAGAGGTCAACCTTGACAAATTGAGATGGTCCACTGTGAATAGTGAAACTGACATGAGCAGAGCTCAGACGAAAAGAGTATTCGACTAGTAAAGTGCCACCTGAGGTGAATCGGACCGTGGCCAGCGTGGGAGCGTGTGCTTGTCGTGAAGAAACCGAACTGAAGAAGGAAGTGCACTGCCCATGATGGCTTAACGCCTTTCTAAGTAAAGTGCAGGTGGGGGAAAGGGGAGGGGCCCTCTGATGCTCCACAGTCAATGGTACCCTCAGGTGGTATGAAGAGCGGGCAGAGGCGGGCACCGGTCGAGATGCACTCAGGTCTTGTGGGGAGCACAGTTCTACCTAACCAAACGTTGGGGGACGCAACTAAACCTGAAGAGGCCCGAGACTGCGAGGCATGGGCTGGGATGATCTGGCAACAGGTCGATCAGGGCGCGAGTGAGAAGCCGAGAATACCAGAGACAAGACAACCCACTGCGAGAGCCCTGAGTTCCCACCACGGCAGGCTTTAGGCTTAGGATGCTTTCAGTGGCGTTCCTGCTGGCGGGCAGCGGGCAGCCTAGGCTGGGATCGTGGTAGCACTGGGACGTGCCAGCAGAGGGGAGACAGGGGCAGGGATAGGGGTCCGAAGAGCTGCGCAAGGACGACACGGGGATAGGGTGGGCTCAAGAAGCAGAGTGGAAAGATGGCAGAAGCACTAGGGGCCACCATCAGTGACACGAACAGCCACTAAGGGAGAAGGGGGGGGGGGGGCGTGTTTCGTTCTCAGGGCGTGTCGATGTGTCTGGCCGGTGGGCAGGGGTCGCTTGGCACCGAGCGACCTTCGTCCTAGGCCCTGTCCCTGGACCCGGTCCTGACCCTGGGCAAGGAAGGCCAAGGCGGTTGCGTAGATGAAATTGCCCGATGAAGGGGTGGGTGACCTGCGTCTAATCGAGAGGGGGGAGGAGTGGGCGATGGATAAGATATTCATGTGCACTACAACATCAGCCATTGTACTGTTCCGCACAAATATGCAACGCACCCCATGTTCATCCATCACGGCGGCGGACAATGGCCCTGGTCAGTTCATTCGTACAGCACCCCGGCTGCAATGCCGCCTCTCCTGCCGGATCCATGGGTGATGCCGCGCCCAGAGCAGACACATCGATGGAAACCACCGCCTGTGGAAGGAATGGACATGCGTACTGAGTGCCTGATGGTCAACAGAAAGAAAGCTCAATAGTCGAGAGCGAGAACGATCGAGGGCTTTCTAAAATGACCACTCACTCTGCCTGGCTCCGTGCCCTTTCGTCCCCCGATTCGCCCCGGTTTGCCAAGTGCGCGCGATCCGAACTCCTAGTGGGTAGAGGATGATCGACAGCG